GTTGTCAGCAAGAATAACAATGCTATTGCTAGAAGTAACTAACTTCTTGTATTGCCTTAAGTGGAAAAAAAAATCCAGTTATTTGGAAGATAAGATTGAGAAATCATATTCTGATACTACGAAAGAGGTGTTCCGCCCCTCCTCCCCCACCCCCAGCCCGTGGGAAATAACTATGTCTGTGGCAAGCTCCATTTGCAGGAATATGTGTTAACCTTAATATTAAAATTCCAGAGTGGCTTTATAACTGCAGATGTGTAGTAATGTGCAAGGCATGTGTAAGTCTGAGCTGGTTCAAACAGGTGGATTCAGCAGCATAGCTGGCAGCAAGTGTTTCTGCTCATCTACTGCACAGCAGGCGTGAAGCCAGGTGATTTTGATCTCTCCAGTTTTGCTACTGAGAAATTTAAAATGTGACATGGATCAAACAGGATTATTGATAAGATATCAGGCAGCTGGTGGCTGCTCACTTAGCAGCTGCTCCTGCTTTCTGGGTTGGAGGCTGCCTGGAGCCAAGTTCCACCCAGTATCAAATACTGTTATTTCTGAAATTAGGTAGCTTCAAGGATATAACTTTCTTGTACTCCTCCTTCCCTTCGTAGAGAAGGAAGGAGAAGTTTTGTCAGAGTTACTGACAAAGTTTTTTTTTTTTTTTTTTTTTTTTTTAACTGTTTTAAGAATGTAATTTGTTCTTTATTTTCCAAGAGTTTCCATGCTATTAAATAAGTGGTTTACCATGTGATTCTGAGAACATCAAGCATTTCTTTTGCTAGTTCTGGAGGCAGAGGTTTTTACCTTAAATGTGATAGGAGGCCTTTTTGTGCCATGAGAACAACTGTGCCATTAGGTACAAACCCTTTCACTTGTCTGCTTGGGGACTATCCAGCCTTGTTTAAAATCTTGGAGTGGTATGTTTTGCAACTGCGGGGATAGAAATGGAACTGAAAGCTGTCTGAAAAAAATAAAAATTGTTCGGAGTTTAAAAATACACATTTGTTGTTCTGGAAAACTTTAAACTTGCCCAGGGATCAAAATGAAAAAGGAAAAAACCCAACAACTACTTAGCATATCAGAAATGGCATTTCTAGACTACAGTATAGGTTTTAGAACAGAGTAAAATGAACCCAGTAGCAGATATCTTCCATTCCTGTGTCTGCTGAAAAGGAGCAAGGATGACTCAGTGATTCTGTTCGTGATTTATTCATGTGGGTTCCTGCAGTCATGGTTTAAACTACAGGCCGCCTCCCGAGTATACTGCTTAAATGCCATAGCCCGAACTTCCAAAATTTAGCCCTCCCCTTCCCCTCTAGAAAAATCTTCTTGTGCAGCCGGTGTTCACAGGCAACCAGCGCATCTCCATGCACAATGCAATTTAAGATTCTTCCTTCCAAACCTGGGTCCTTGCTGTCCAAATCGGAGCAGTCAGCAATATGTTCCTTTTTATGGACTGCTGCATGGCGGGAGGCTGCTCGTTGGCGTAGGCGTTCAGTGAACATTTGGATCTCTGTCACTTTATGCGCCCTTGAAACATGAAAATGTTGGGTGTTTTCAGTAGAGTGGAAACTTTAGTGTTGCTAAAACTTGAGATGCAAATGTGGGAGGGCTTGTTGTTTTCACAGACTATGCTTAAAATGCTGTTTTGTTTTCTAGAGTCAGAATAAATAAAACTCACTAATTTTGCTAGTTAATGTCTGTTAATAGCAAAGGGCTGCTTCAGTGACTGTTTCTACATTAGCTTTAAAAAAAAAATTGAATTGTGCTGAAAAAATAAAACTGTCCAAGTTGGATTACATAAAGCAAGGGAGGAGTGTGGTTTACAATGGCAGAACTGGCCTAGACTTGTGCGGCTGAGTCTTGTAATTGGAGTGTGATTCACATCAGCTGCTGGTGAGGGTGGTGCGTTGCTGCTGGGACAGAGCCTCACGAAGTGGCCAAGCTTGGGCAAGGCCTTTCCGTGGTGACGGATCCCCAAGTAGGACCCTCCTGGGCTCTGTGCGTGGCGAGTGCCGCTGTGTCGGGTGGGATGGGGAGCTGCTCCCGCAGCGGCTCCGCTTGCAGCGCCCCGTCTGTGCGGCCCCGCTGCCGGCAGGGCTGAGCGGGGGGACACGCTCGGCTGCAGTCGAGCCCCCTGAAACGCGCCCAGCGCAGGCACAGGGTCTGCAGGGCTGCTCCAAGGGAGCCAACAGGAAAAACTACCACCCAAGGGTCATGTCTGTCTTTTCATGAGTGCTTTACCCAACTTTTGTCACCTGAAATGAATATGGAAGGAATACCTCAACCCTTTCTGTGTGCAGAGGAGAATACTCTGTTTAAGATAAGCAGAAAACTTCTTTTGATGACAGCAGCCTCAGCATCAAGTTCTGGAAGGGGGCACAAGAAAATAACCAGATTTTGCTACGGCTGCTGAAGTCTAGCAGTTGTCTTACTGCAAACTTGCCCGGTTGTCCTGACTTTTAACTCTGAAATACTTGTGGTAGGGGACAATGCAACAGTTATTTGGCAATATCTTGATGGGAGACAAACGTGTGGGTCATGAACTGAAGATAGCACGTAATATTAGCATGTCCTGCTGACACCGTGCACAGCGGTCGTGTGTGCAGCCCTGCTTCCTTTGGGCTGTCACACAGCTGTGACTTCTGCGTTTGTGTCCTTCTCTTTGCCACCAGTCATTTTGTAGCAAGTGTTTAAAAACAACAGTAGAAGCAAGGAGGCAACTTTCTTAAGCAGCACAGATATATCCTAAATTGTTATTTATTAAATGATATCAAAGCTCTCCTTTTTATCTTTATTTTTTAAATCTATTTAAACCCTCCTGGTCTGTTTATATATTCATGTTAACTCTCTGAATTGCAAGCTGTTCCGCAGAGTCACGAGACCTTTCCTGCTGGCTGCGCTGCTGCGGAGCAGCTGGGCTAGATAGCCCAAGAGCCGAGTGGCGGCTGAACGTAAGGGTGACTCAGCTGAATATCGCGGCGCACCACGAGCTCGCTGCCTTCCCCTGCAGACCTGACGTGACCCTGGCGTAGATCCTCTCTGCACGTAATCAGGGAGCTTTATGCCTCAGCCGTGTGGGTTTTTTAATTTGCTTCAGCATTTTGTAAATCCCTAGAAAAATCTAGGTTTACTGATTTAATTGAATTGGTTGTATTAAGCTCAGGGAGAGGTCTTTTGACTTTTTTTTTTTTTAAAGCTAACAAATTAAACGAATTTTAGAGAACTCTAGAAGAAATATAGTATCTGTGTGCAGTCTGCACATCATCTGTTCACTCTGAGAAAGAAGTCCCAAAGAAGATAAAAATGAGGAGAAATGAGGAAAGGAAAGCATTTTTAAATTTTCAAAAGAATTTTTTTTTGTTTGTTTAAGGTTAGACATGATTACCTTTATTGGAGGAAAAAAAAAAAAAAAAAAGGCCAGGTTCAAGGGATCAAACTGATCAATGATAAAATAACAGTTGGTTGGTGTTGAGTTTAAATATTTGCAAGGTGTATATGCTGTTTTTTTATTGCACTTTCTTCAAGTACCCGCTCTTTATTATAGTGTTTGAAGCTGTTTAATCAGTAGGAGTGAAGGATGAACAAGGACAGATGTCTGGAAACCCCAAAAGCAGGGCAGTGCTTTCAGCTCTGGCATCGTGGTCGGCGGAGCAGGTCGGCCTCCCTGTGCCCGGGTGTGAAACGCGGATAATGATTCTTGTTCTTGTGACCAGCTCAGGAGCGTGCGGATGAGCTGATTAGCGGCTGCTGTCATGTTCCAGTAGTGGTACCGGTGCTATGTGCGGCTGTGAGCGGGGTCACCCTGTGAGGCAGGTGTTTTGTAGCTGGAGGTGACGCTGATTGGTGACCTCTCGGGCTTGTGACCTCTCGTCTCGCCTGCATGGCTCTCTGCCCAGGTGCCTGCGAGCTGCGCTGCAGCGGTGGCCGCGCTGCAGCCCCGACTGCCTCAGCCCCTTCGCCGCTGCAGCTTGTGTGTTGCATCAGCCTCCTGGAGAGGCGAAGTCCCTAGCGCTCCAGGGAAACGATCATCTCCCAGCAAAGGCAGTATCTTACTATCACATTATCCAGTCCTTTACAAAGGAAGTTGACAGATGGCTAAAACTTGCTGAATCAATGTTTGTTTTACTAAATAGCCTGTCATAAATAGTCCTTGTACTGCAGTGGCAATGGCGATCACATTTTGACTACTGGAAACATCAGTTTTGAACATCGGTTTTGCTTTGGAACGTGTTCTGACTTTTCTTGTTTTCAAGAATCATGTTGAGAGAAATAGGGAAATGGTGATCATTCATCATTTCATTTTATGATCATATGATCATAATCATATTATATCAACTTAGATCATCTTCCTGTGGGGTAGGAAGCAGGTTGCAAGGATGAACCTCTTCTGCTCAGCTCTGCCTGCTGTTCCAGGGAGTTTGCAGCAAGGCTCAGCTGGGATTGGTGCAGAAAACTTCAGTGCTCTGAAGCTACTTCACATGTAGTGCAGTAATGTTGTCTCATGCAGTTGGTTTTTACTTCTTGCCAGGTAACTCCCATGCTTTTACTTTGGGAGTGGTGTATATCTGGGCATTCTTTGTCCATACACAGCGGTTTGTAGTAGCAGATAATTAGCATTGTTGCCTTACTTCTTTGCCATCATAATGTGAAAATTCTTGGTTAGTACTGTTGAAGATTCCGGTAGTCTATTTGAGTGAGTTGTCTTTACTGGTAGCTGCTGTATAACCAACTAGTATTTTCCTGTGAAGGTTTAAAACATGAGCTATGCCAAGTGCAATAAAATTATAAACATAATAGTGTAGAGCCAGTTTAATGGACATTTAAGTCTTTATGCAGTAAGGTTCAGAGCAAGATAGGTAGTGGCTATTTCTTTTTTTAAATACTTAAGTACTTTTCATATATGTATGTGTGGCTTTTTCCTCTCCCTTTAACTCAGCCCATTTTGTCTCCCCAGGACTGGAATCTGACATGGCACACAGAAAATCCAGATTTTACCCCATGCTTTCAGAACACAGTCCTGGTTTGGATTCCTTGCATTTACCTGTGGGTCTGCTTCCCAGTCTACTTCCTATACCTTCGTTATCATGACCGGGGATACATCCAAATGTCACACCTCAACAAAGCCAAAACGGTCTGTATTTTCTTAAAATCATAACCTCTTAGGTGTATTTCTGTTGCCCTTATATGAACAGGCTTTCTGAACTGTACTCAGCGTGTCAGAAAACACACAAATCCTTTGTAGCGCAGTTGGAGAGGACCACTTTGAGTCAGCTAAATCTTGAGGCCTTTGTGTCAGTAACAAAAAGACTTCATTATTCTGTCAACTTCCAACGGACTTGTAGAGCCAGTGCACATGTTCTGTTCCATTCTTTTGTGAAATCGGAACTCAATGTGCCCTTGACAGTAGTTTTTCCATAGAATAAATGGAAAGTTTTAAGAAGGAATATGATAGTTAGCTCGGTGCATTGAAGAGTTTGTCTTTTTAATCTTCTGTTCAGGAATGAAATTCAGCAGTTACCTGCTTACTGATATGCCTCTGTAGTAGTAAGAATTAACATGCTTTTGTTTTTCTTCCTCTTTTAGTGGGGATTTACTAGGTAAAATGAAACTACTCTTCTTTCCAAGATGTTATTACTAAATGTGATTGCCCTAAAAAGGTGATCTGATTATGACTTCTCTTACACTAATGCGTTACACTCAGTGTGCGTGTATTATGCTGCTTAATTGGCCTTTTCAGACTGCATGAACTGATGTATAAAATGTACCTCTTTATTCCAGGCTTTGGGCTTAATACTGTGGATAGTCTGCTGGGCAGACCTTTTCTACTCTTTCTGGGAAAGAAGTCAAAATATTTTTCGGGCTCCATTTTTTCTCATTAGCCCTACAGTCTTGGGTATAACAATGGTAAGTTTTTATTATAGCTTTTGGCGATGCAAGACTTTGAAACAACATATGTCTTATTATCCACAGAGTTTTAATTCTTTAAGCTACAATCTTTATTTACAGACATAATTTGCAGTTGAACTGGGAAATTATTCTTGATGTCTGCTTTTATTTTCATTTTTTTAATATATTAAAAAAACACCAGCTCTGCTCAGCATGTTGCATGTCAGCATGTAAGTAGATGCTAGTTATCTTGCTTTATTTTGGCATCAAGTTCTTTAATTCAAACATTGGGTGGAGGAGTCAAGACAGGGAGGCTGATTAAGGCTAGATATTACAACTCAAACTTGCTGAATTTTGTAACACTGTTGAAGTCTTCTCATGTATTGCATTACAAACTTGTGTTGTGTGTAGCAGATCTGCAGTGCATGTTTTCTTCCAATTTGTTTGATAGTATGAGGGAAAGTTAAATACAGCACAAATCCCCAGCTAACATTTTCTGCCTAAATGTTAGATGTAGTCTGGTTCTACTTCAGTATCACTTCAACCTCCATTGCAAGGAGAAAGACTTGTTGTTCATTTGTTGCTTTAGATTAATTCAGATTTGGAATGCTAGCAGTAAAGAACGATTTTTTCTTCCAATTTGTTTGATAGTATGAGGGAAAGTTAAATACAGCACAAATCCCCAGCTAACATTTTCTGCCTAAATGTTAGATGTAGTCTGGTTCTACTTCAGTATCACTTCAACCTCCATTGCAAGGAGAAAGACTTGCCGTTCATTCGTTGCTTTAGATTAATTCAGATTTGGAATGCTAGCAGTAAAGAACAATTGAGAGAGAGAGAGGGAAAAACAAACAAACCAACCCAAAACCATACAGACAGTGCAAGTCCTCTTCATTAATTTGTGATCATTTAATGGTGCAAGCGTGAAGCTTTTATGAGACTGATTAAAAATGTGTGTTGCAGTATCCAAATGAGATTATAAATCGCACCAGTTTCATATATAGCTCTGAAAGTGCTCAAAGTACAGTGTTAGAATAATGGTTGGTCAATATTGGTTGGGGTTGTGTGTTTTAAAAGAAGTAGTCAGGAAGTAGTTAGTACTTGAAGTCCTTTACTGTTTCAGGGATTTCCAGTTTAAACTTCCTTTTGAATTATACTTTAACATGATGAGATACCCTGAAAATATCCCTGTGTTAGAATGCCTGGGAGATATTGGGCCTGGAAAGCTAAATAAATACACTTTAACATAGTACTTTGTATATGTGACTTGTAGAATTGAAACCTTGTGAATATATTTTTATCTTATTTGTCCACAGTTGCTTGCCACGTTTTTAATACAATATGAAAGAATAAAAGGAGTCCAGTCCTCAGGTGTAATGATGATTTTCTGGTTCATCTCATTGTCATGTGCCACAATAATTTTTAGATCGAAAATAATACATGCCTTAACTATGGTAAGTTATTGTTAGCCTCATGCAGTTGGAAATAATCCCAACTACCACAAAACCGAGTAGTTGCTTGCTAATTATGTTAACTGCCAGTGTATAAGATGCTAAGTCAATTAATGATCCATTCAGTGTACTTTCATTTCTATAAAAGCAAAGTGAGCCAAGCTTACTAGCCCCTGTCTTTCAGGTTTTAAAATGCTAATGAAATTTGTAATGATTTTCCTGTAGCAACAGCTGCCAAGAGAAGTTTTGCTAGATATTACAGAAAAGGGATATTTCTGCTTGAACCCAATAAGTTCATAGTGCTTGATATGAAACTGTTCTGGGAGATTATGTCATCTTCCTGTTGATTATACAGTGGATTTCCTGAAACACTGGCTTTGAACGCAATTTGGTCATGCATATCTGCTGAGACAAAATGAAAGTATGCAAGTAAAATACTTCTTAAGCAGTCAATTTTATAGTAAAATTACCTCAAATGTCAGTTCAGCTGTGGAGCTGCCTGATAATAGCATGTTGCTTTTTTAGAAGTCTTTGGGTCGTGTTATGTATCACTTCCAGTCTGAACAACAAGGGAACGTCTGCAGTTAGAACATAGCAAATTGAAACCGAAATTATGCTCCTTTGAGTCTTATTTTCTGTGCATGTGTTAATTAACTACTTGGCACTGGAAGCTCTTTGATGCCCAATATATAAGTAACTTTCTCTTGTGCCTCTCACCTTGATTTCAAACTGGCATGTGCAATGTTGGGATGAACTGTATCTTAACCATTTTTACAGGAGAGGGTTATGTGTGTTCATGGAGTGACTGATTAAAAATACAAAGTCAGGAGACTCCATTTGTGGTACCTTTCATCTTCTTTGCCCTCTTTCCTCCCTGCCTTCACAAGAGCAGGCATTGACCTCAGTTTGCCTAGTGGTGAGCAGTATTTTACCAGGGCTGATTACAGGTGCTGTTTGCTGAACAAGTTGGGTGTTTCTGTAAGGGCTGCTTGCTGGTGCATGCTTCAGTCTGAGCAGCAGCTCACAGTCCACCTGCTGCTAGGCTGACTAATATTTATCTAGTGTGTAGAGCTGGAATTAAGGATCCACTTTGCACATGTGGTAAGATGTGGTTTCATAAATTCCTTACACCTTCTAACTAGACTCTTGCCTTCCTTTGTAGGACGCCGAAGTGGATGCTTTTCGTTTTGCGACCTTCTGCAGCTACTTTGTCTTGATACTTGTACAGCTCATACTGTGTTGTTTTCCAGAGCAACCACCTTTGTTTTCTGAAACAGTAAATGATCCTGTAAGTGCTCAACCTATACGGAATGTCATGTATCCTACCTGAAGTGTTCTGTATGATAAGATAAAGGGTTGTCTTCTCACAGGTACCAAACAATTCAATCTTACTGACCTAAGTCTCCAGTAAAGTGTTATTTTTTGCTCTTTATCTGGTGGAGCAGATGAAGCCTATAACATGCAAAACTGTGGGCTGTCTTTGAGAGAGGGAAAGTACTTTTTTAGTCATTCTTGAGTAGCATTCCAGGTAACTTCATACATTCATATTCAGTAGCACTTCTACCAATTAGTGGGGAAGACAGATTTGAAACACTGCCTGTTATTCCCCTGCCTTTAACCTGCTACCATGCAGTAGACAGTAAACTCATAATGATGTTTGCTCCTTCTGCGAGTGATGGGGCAGAGTCTGCATCTGGAGAACTTGTTCCGTGTAACTGCATTTGACTTTCTATATATACCTCTTGTGCTAAACAACGATGTAACTAGTTAAACTGAAAGAGCCCGATCAGCTGCAGAGATAGCAGTTACAGAGTGTTCTGGATATACTAATTCTTTTCCAAATGATGATCATTTTCTACGTGCTCTTAAATATCTGTGCCTGCTATGGAACCTAGATTTGAAGTCACCCAAGTGGTGCAGGATATTTGTTTTGCTTGCTCACCCATGGTTGTGTCTTCTGAGTGAAAGTGGAATGACTCCCATCACTGCTTGGAGTGTGGTGGATGTGCTGGGTTTTAGAAACTTCAGTTCTCCTGTAAAAGCAGGATCACCCTTTTTTTAAAAAACGGTGTTAGCTGACTGATTAATGAAGGAAGTCTGAAGCATGAGAGGGGACACAGATATCTTTGTGATTGTTGCAAAGAGCTGTAATGAGTTATGTTTCCTGACTCCATAGTCCCCTTCCCCTTCACTGCCTGTTGTGCTGGTGATGCTCTGCGTTACCACTGCAGACTGTGTGTGCCTGGAGAGAGAGAAAAGGCTGTTGCTGACTCTAGGGGTTCTTTTCATCTTTGCGTTCTTTTCATCTCATTCGGGGATGAAACGTATTTGAATGGACACTGCGGATTTATGGAAACCTTTTCTGCTTTGATCACAGTTAAAATAATTACAAGATGCTTTGAGCACATGCTGGCTTGTTTTTGTATTCTGTTGCTGTGAAACTGGGCAGAGAGAAATTAAAAGCTATTTTTTGTGGGTGGCATGTTTGTTTAAATGTTTTAATAGAAAATATACACAGCAAATAATTATACTTGTGATAGAAATCTGCCTTACTTCCTTCTGAGAAGCATTTCCAAAACAAAAACTTAAGTTTTAAGTAAGCACACAATATCAATGAAATTTCTCAGATGTAGGTAGATGCCATTTATATAAATCACTTAATATATTTTGTTTCTTCTTTATAGCTTGCTTGCGCCATGTTAAGTGCAGATATGTTACAGCTTCAATTCCATAGCTGAACAGTCTTTATCGGGCATGAATTAATAGTTAGGATTAGTAGTTCTTCAATATTTTAAAGCTATTCATGATGAAGTGAAATATGTAGCTGTTGAAAACAATCGATTTCAATCAATTTTACACAGACACCACATTTTTTTAAACAAATGAAGTGTAGTTCTTGTTAGTAAAAGAACTAGTTGATTGCTTAATCTGGAATTTCCATTTAAAAAAGTAAATAGGAAAGAATGCATTGTTTATTAAAAAAAAAAAAAAAAACTATAAAGTTAAGTATATCCAGAAATTTTCCTAACTAGAAAGTATTTCCTGACCAGAAATTTTTCCAGTAGGAATACTGAAGTGGCTACTAGATAAAAATAATCTTTTTATTTATTTGAAACTTCTTCAAGTTCTTTTAAAAACTTTAAGCCAGAATGTTTCAGTTTCTTGCAACTGTTTTGCTACAAGTGGTTTGGAAATGTTGAGTGTTTACACGAAAAAAAACTCTCATGAATGCTCTCTTCTTGCTCTACAATGTGGGTTTTTCTTTGTTTTTTTTTCTTTGATTAAAAAAAAATAAGTCTGTGCTGAGGAGGCAAAATGCAAAGATCTGTTTTATGTAGCTTAATTCCATCACACTTCAAGATACAGCTTAATGAAAAAGCTATACAAACTAATGAACAAACAGCTAATGAAAAAGTTATACAAACATGCACTGAAAAATGCAAATCTGGAAAAATGAAAAAAAAAATTGGCCCAGGCCATTTTCTTGCCTTCCGGAATCTAACTATAATCTAACTATGCTTTGTCACTTTTGTAGCTGGAAATACCTGTATTGCTGCTATTATAGTTTGTGATAGTGGCTTGTATGCCAAAGTAGTAGTGTGTGTGTGTGTGTTTGTTTTTTTTTTTTTTTTCCATTCCTTAAATGCTGATCAGAGCAGTGAAAGGAGAGAGAAATCTCTACTGGAATTTTGAAAGTAATTCACATTTAGGCCCTTTGAAATTCTTCCAGTGCTTCTTTCAGTGTTTTAATCCATCCAGGTTACTCTTTGGATTTTTTTTTTTTTTTAATGACTTGAATTTTAATGACTTGAAAATAGCATAGAGAAACTATTAGGAAAAAAAACAGCAGTCTTCTTGGGTTTTCATTTGATTGCAGAGTAGATCCAAGCATAAATCCATCTTTAACTCGTGTATGTGTGGTTTTGTTTTTTGTTTTGTTTCTTTTTGTACATACATTACAAAATCTTTAATTTTAATTTTATTTCTTTTGTTCACATCTGCCTGTCCTGGGGTAAAGCCAATATTTTGATTTATTTATGGTTCTAAAAAGCTGGTCAGCTTGGGCTAGCCTGCCCTGGAACTGTATTTTCACTGATATTTTTGCCACTAGTTCTCTAGAGCAACAGGGACTAATTGAATAATGTGAAGAAGGGGAAGAAGGAGGGGAAAAAAAAAAAAAAAAGGGAATGTCAAAAGCATCTTTTTCTCTTCCTTAGAATCCGTGTCCTGAGTCCAGTGCTTCTTTCCTCTCCAGAATCACGTTCTGGTGGATCACTGGGTAAGAACAAGATGCTGCATAGAGAGACAGTTAAAATCAGATAGCCTTTTAGAATTCCACGTTGTGAGTTAAATTAGCGGTAAACGTAAAAGTCTTTCCAACTTAGAATTTTTCTAAAAATTTATTTAATATGCTTGCTAAAAGGCTGTAATCAAATTATAATTTTGATGGAGAAAATGGAGAAATAGAGAAGGTAGATAAGGAATTTAAAACTGGTAACTCTTCAGTGTGCTCTTTTTGTTTCATTAACTTATCCTGCTTTATGCCCTATGACTTGACCAAAGTGCAGGTGTTGTGAGTTAAATATACAAACTTGTAAAATAGTATTAGTCATGCTGTTGCGGTTGGTACTTGGCCAGAGTTCCAATAGAAAGGCAGATGAAAGGAGTTGCTTTGTAAAATTAAAGGTTAATAAAGATTTCTGCAGCTTGGTAAGCAGGGGAGCATTAACTGCCTAGCTGACTTTCAAATGTGATCACTTCTTCCTTTCTCATATTCTCACCAAAATTTAAATTCAGTGATTCATAATCCTTGGTGGCTAACTGTCATAGTAAAGGGCAGGAGGATGTGCTTCTCTAAGCTTTTCAAAACCTGTGTTTTGCTCCAGGTATTAGTTCTTGCATGTTTTTTTGCGAAGAGCTGGCTCTGCTCTGGGAGTGGGTGTAAAGCCCACTGTCTTATAGCATGTGAATCTCTGGTTTTCTTAAATATATAGTGCTGATTCTCTTTATTATAGGCTGATGATTCAGGGTTATCGGACACCTTTGGAAGCCAAGAATTTGTGGTCATTAAATAAAGAGGACATGTCTCAGGAGGTAGTGCCCGGTTTGGCTAGGAACTGGGCAAAAGAGTGTGCAAAGACAAAGAGGTAAGTTCAGTTATCTTTTGAATGATCAATTTAAAGTTCTAGTTAACAGCAAGAACTGAAAACTAGGTAAGAGTCGTCTTGTTAAAATATTTGAATGCCATGTGGACACAAAATGATAAGAAAAAGGAAATAGCTGTGACTGTGTGTGCTGTGGAGCACTGGGGGAGGCATCTGTTCCTCCGTGTCCCTCCAGGCTCTGCACGGGATGCTGCCAAAAACTGGCAGCGAAATGTTGTAGAGGGTGTGGGGGCTTCACTTGGCTGGCAGTGCCTCGGGGATGTCTGTTCTAAAGCTGAAAATACCCTCCTTCATTTAGGGATGTCTGTTGTGTTTTCAAGCTCCCTTTTATAGGGGCCATGCAGCAGTTCTGGATTTCTCTACTGCATTGAGAATAGTAACAAGTGGCCTGTGTGTGTTTGTATGGGGGTGTGTGTTTATTTTATTTTTTTTTTTTTGTGAAGAGGTGCAACACAATTTTCCCTTAACCTTTCATGGTCCAAAGGTGATTATTGTTATTTTTGATGTGTGGCTTGTTAGTCAAGGCTGGGTGGGAGTCTTCACACATTTGAACTTCAGCCCTGTATTTTGAGAGCTTGGGCTCCCTCTGCTGTAAGTGGGGAGTCCATTAGGACAGTTCAGGGTGTAGAAGTGTGGAGTTTATTTCTTTCCTTCGGTTATATTGGGAGCCTGGACACCCGAGCAACATAACTAAAATTAGGACTGCGTGCCTGCAGTTTCCATCCTGCTTTCATCATCCTTTATTGCAGCAAACAGTAATACCTTTTCATTGATGGAAGAGACTTACTTGCTTACACATGATTTTTTTTTTTCCACGCAACTTGTTCTCAGAAGTTCTAAAGTATTCAGTTTGGCATAAACCAGATCTGTGAAATGGATGTATTCAGCACATTAAGGATAACTTGGCATAAGTCTGACTGGAAACTTTTGAATCCTGTGGTACAGCGAAGCCATGAACTTGATGAAGACTTAGCATCTATGTTAGAATCATAACATCCAAAAACATCACGCAGCTGTGACTTAGCACAAATTGAGGCCCTGTTCCTCATTTCCGTATATAGAACTGTGTTCACAACAGACATTCTCCAGGAATATCACCTACATGTACAAAAATGCCCCATTTTTGAAGGGTCAGTTCTGGTAGCTATGGTTATATGATTAAAAGATGATTGCTGAGGAACAGTAAAATTCCAAGTTAACCCATTGAGAAGAACAGTAGGCTGCCATCCCTGTTGCTAGGACACTGTAGTTACTAAAACGGCAGATGATGTCAGAGATGGAGTTCACTGTGTTGGCAAATATCATAAATTGTTAACTGTTTTGTAGCTAGAGTTGAAGGAAACATCTCATTTGGATATTATGCATTCTTCCAGGTTATTTTCTGCATGCATAAAGGCTATGTTGTATATGTACAATGTATTTTATTTCTTATTTCAGGCGACCGTTAAACATGCTGTACTCACCCAAAAAGCAGCAAAAATCAAATGACTCAAATGATGATATGACAGAAGAGGCTGAAGCTTTAATTATAAAACCAACTCAGAAGAACTCTGAGGCATCTTTATTCAAGGTGTTATATAAAACTTTCGGACCATATTTCATCGTGAGCTTCCTATTTAAAGCTGCACATGATCTCTTGATGTTTGCAGGCCCAGAAATTCTGAAGTAAGAGTTTAAAAAATTATTCAGTTAAAAAGGATCTAGACAGAGTCTTGCATACATTCATATTTCAGTCACCAAGTGCTTGAGTGGTTGCACAAGCACTGCTATGTTTGAAATGAAGTACAGATAGAACCCTGAATAATGTTCCTTCGCATTTATCAAGACACCAAATTCCTCTTTTCACAGATTGCTACTTAAGTTTGTGAATGACAAAGGTGCTCCAAATTGGCAAGGCTACTATTATACAGGGCTCCTGTTTGTTTGTGCCTGTCTTCAGACACTGATTCTGCACCAGTATTTTCATATTTGCTTTGTCACTGGAATGAGGCTTAAAACAGCAATTGTTGGTGTAATCTATCGAAAGGTAGGTGTTTCTTTAAATATATGGTAATATGTCTCTGAGGCTTTGTGATTGTTGTGGTTAAAATTTTATAGTTAAAGCAGTTAGACTCTGCTAGGCTGATTGCTAACTCTTAATAGTTGAAATGGAGTACCTAACTTAAAACTTGAAGGTAAAGCAACTTTCTAATTTACTGCTTGAAGTTCAGGCACCTTTTTCTACGCACCCACAAATAAGAAACCTCTTTTTATTTCAACAAGGAGTGAAGTTGTTTCCGTTTGTGTGAAAGTTAAGATAGTTCTACATCTACAGCTTCATTAGTGACTTAACAGACAGCGCCACTTCGTTCTGTAATAGAGTGGAACATTTTTAGAAAAGTAGGATTGTTCTTCTTACACCATTTAAAAACAAACAAAAAAGGCAAAACAAAACACACCCCAAAACAACAAAAAGCTCAAACAGACTTTCTTGGCATTTTTAGTTCTCTATTAGTTTAACCCCAAACACTTGCTTCAATCTTACACAACTTGTATTTTGTAAAATGTGCAGGGTAACTGGAATTCAATGCATGAAAAGCATTGCTTGTAATTTTAAAGAGGAACCTTTGTAAAGCAATTCCAATTCAGTGGAAAATATACAAACCAGTAAGTGCATGTGTGTGTGTGTTTTTAATGCTGTCTTACTTTTAATCCCCACCAGGCACTAGTTATCACAAATTCTGCCAGAAGGACTTCTACTGTGGGTGAGATTGTGAATCTAATGTCTGTGGATGCTCAGAGATTCATGGACTTGGTTACCTATATAAACATGATTTGGTCTGCACCTCTGCAGGTGATACTGGCGCTGTACTTGCTGTGGCAGGTGAGTATCATGTATGTTGTTTCCTGTTTCGACTCGTGGTTTCCTGAGGTCATAATTTCAGAGAACAGTTGTTTAGCCTGTCAACTGGAGGGTTTACAGCACTCAGCAGTGAATATGGTGTTTGTTCAGAAGCCATTTAGAGCTACTTTTGTCATTGCTCTCCGGAAGGAAGCTAGGAGGCTCTCAGTTTGCAAGTCCAGGCTCTCTATATACCTGCATATGCTGCTTCTGCACAGAAATGAACTTGTATTTTGATATGCCTTTTGTTCTTTCTGCCCTCTCCTAGAGTTAGCTCAGGCAGTTCTTCCTGTTCTATGTCCTTAAACCACTTTCTTGATTGTGCTGGTGCAATTCTTTGTGTTTGGGTGTTTATGTGGATACAGGCTTACAAGCAAGAATTTTTCTCTGCAGAATTTAGGTCCATCTGTGCTGGCAGGTGTGGCTGTCATGGTCCTCCTGGTTCCAGTAAATGCTGTGATGGCAATGAAGACAAAAACCTACCAGGTAAGAAGCTATATATTCACAATGCAGGGTTCTTAAGGAAGAAGTTAGAGATGTTACATATGCATATGCAAAATAGCTGGAACTAGCACCCTTTTCAGCAGGTCTATACGTAACGATACCCGAGTTCGGCAGTAGTAACATTAAGGTAGCACTCCAGCCACTTTCATGCAATGCCTGATGATGGAACAGAAATAGTTTAGTATTTAACTTGCTGCTTAAGAACTTGAGTGCAAAACCGGGCCATTGTCTACCTAATGAGCCTTAAAATGAGCAAAGTGTTTACATATCCAGTATGGGGCTTGCAGCGTGGGCGAGTTGTTTTTCATCTTGGTGGGAGGAAGAAGGAAGGATCCTCAGTCACTGATTTTTTTTTTTTTTTTTTTTTTGGTCCTGGATGGATTTTAGTTAAGGGGGATCAGTTGGTTGCTGAGGGAGCACATATATAAACCCTGTACCAGGGCAGTCTGTTAGCTTGCTCTGGTGCTGGCTCTGAACGTCCTTTCGCCTTTGCACAGCCTGTGTTAAGATACTGTCTTCAAAAGTTCCCTTCCTCATGTTAGACTCTATTCTTTCTGCTGAGTAGAAAGCTTTACCTGAGCTAATATCACAAAGCCACGAGTAGTGCTGAACATTAAAGCAAAAAACAAGTTTGGTCTAGGGTTCTGTATGTTGCAAACTTGATTACAATGGCTTATTTATTCATTTATTTTAACTGTGCCTTGTACCTAAGTGGAGTCTGAGCCCAAGGGCTTTCTGGTGCAGGGACATGAGTCCCACAATTATTTTGACATTGGTTCAAGTTTTAAATTGTACAAAGCATTCTTCTAATTGGCTTAAAACATCTTGTTAATTCTGTGTGTTTGTTTGTTCAGATAGCTTTGTATTTTGCCATAGCAAAATTAAGCTCATTATCCTCAAAAGCTTACTAGCTTCCCAGAGCAGGAAAGCAGAGGGGCTAAGAACTTTGTGGGTTTGCCAAGTGTTGTGGCCTGCTAATTATTTATTGCGATATTTCTTTTAGGTGGCTCAAATGAAGAGCAAAGACAATAGAATTAAGCTGATGAATGAAATTCTCAATGGAATTAAAGTGTTGAAACTTTATGCCTGGGAATTAGCCTTCAGAGAGAAGGTATTAAAGATCAGACAGGAAGAGCTGAAAGTCCTAAAAAAATCTGCTTACCTTGCTGCAATGGCCACCTTTACATGGGTCTGTGCTCCTTTTCTGGTAAGTGAAACAAACTTGGGAGCGCGTCTTCCTGTTTGGAATAATGCTGTCCAAAGCAATGCCTAACAATTCAATTTGCTTTTGTTTTTTAATTAGTGGAAAGGTCTGTCTTCCACAGCAACAGGAAACTGAGCATTTGTTTTGAGCAAATGGCAAAAAAGAAAAAAAAGTGCTCTTGTAAAGGAGCACTAGAAGAGCTGTTTGCTAGAAGCTAATGACCAAATTAAAGGAAAAAAAAAATTCTAAAACCCAGGACTATTTTGCTGCTGTATTTAAGTGTCCTTGGATTAAATGTACTGTGAGAATATTGAAAGTTTACTAATGCATGCTCCACCTGATATCTGTGGCTGATAAAAAGAATAAAACTTGCCTTACTGTATCTGCAACTTTATGAAAGAAACAGGCTCTTAAAAGAGTCTTTGAGCAAATGCAACATTGCACAGCCATCCTTCTTCAGGTCTCTATTTCTTCCTGCATCTATTTATGAACAATATGGAGAGGTAGAGCTGTTGTGTATCCTAGGATTATTTAAAAGTCCTATTTAAAACTAAAATCCTTACTATGTGAAACATCTCTGCTATGTGTGTAGCTAGCTTACATTTAAACCAATAAAAGGGAGAGAGTGGTGAGATCACATTAAAATTGCTTTTGACCCTGTTAGAACAAGGGGCAATTGTTCTTGTCTGCAGATGCAAATAAACCATGACTACATTAGGATAAAATATGTGCTGTTCCAGTTAGAGGTGTTTAAGTGTACTTTCCAGTCTCAGATTCCTTCCTTCCAAATGCTGTTAATGTTTACATTTCATTTCGGGCATGATGAAAGGCAGAAGATCAGTGCCCTGCGTAGGAAACTTCAGCCGCATTCTTAAGTGAATGTTTTTCTAAAAGAAGTCTGAGATGATGTTAACATAAATACATTATTAAATGAAGTTTCTAATTAAAACTCTGCCGGTGGACTCCTCAATACTGTTGTGCAGAGACCGAGAAGGCGAATGCTTGTAGTGAGTGGCTCTGTTTCAGCGTGCAGTGGTTCTGCCCCTTGGAGACTTGTTGCTGCAGTAGAACTGGTATAGCCCAAAGGGCATGGCTGTGGTTCAACAGCCTGTTCTCAGAATTTTTTTTCCCCCACAGATTTTTATTTTTTAGTACATATTCTTCTAAGGTTCTGAATAGAGAATTATTGCAGGTACCTCCCTGAAAGTGTTTGACATGCAAAATTCCTTATTTCCTCTCCTCCTTTTCCTGTTTGTTTCCATGGCCAGGGCTCTTTGAAACGTTGTTTATTAACGGTGTCTGGAAGCTATTAATTGTGCAGCACCTCCCCTACAGCTGTGTGTGCTGATAAGAGTGTTTCCAGCCAATTGCTGGTAACACAAGAGTGCAGGCATGCTGCTTCTAAGGTTATTTTTTGGACTCTTTCTTGTTTTTTGTCTCTGTGGGAGGGCTTTTCTTCCCTAGGATAGAGTTGTCCAAATAAAGGATTGTACAAATAAGCTACTGTACCAAGTCAGCAGCTGTATGAAGAAGAATATATCCCTTCACAGCAGTCAGGGTTTTAAAAGAAATACTGATATTTTTCAATGGATAGTGTGCTTAGGTGAGACTCTACTTTTGCCTTTTGAGCTATTTTTTTTTCCAAGGCTTTGGAAGAGGGGCCCTAGCAATGCTCAGCCCATCTTTTTGTAAGTGGTAGTGACAGAAAGAGTTACTAGATCTTGTGATACGTTAAGATATGAGTGATGTAACCATGGAAGAAAACACTGTGGAGGGAATGGATGTGAAAATGAATGTTTGACATGATTGCAGAGGACTGTACTCTGGTTGGGGGTGGTGGTGAGGGAGACTTGGCTTATTAATCAACAAATTTGTGTGATTTTTAGGTTGTGGAAAGCTGCTTTTTATTTTTAAACTAAAATATGTTTGAAAGCAACAGTTCAATATTTTTCACCTGTTCAGAAGGTGGCTCTTAAGCTTTTCTCTTGTAAACTGTTTTCTAGGAAGCTAGAAACATCACTGCATTATGAAAATGAACTTTCATGGTGCCTGAAAAATCTGCCCAGGATGAGGGGGTTGTGCCCTGAAACCCAGGATTATGGTGGTCCCTGCAAAATGTAAATGGGCAGTGCTGTAGTGTTCCTAACTCCTCAGTCTGCCTATCTTTGTTACTGATCCAACGGTCCCTGCAAAATGTAAATGGGCAGTGTTCTTAACTTCTCAGTCTGCCTGTCTTTGTTACTGATCCAATATCTGGTACAGTGGAGTGACTTGTAACTGAATGAGAGCAGAAAGAAAAGAGCAGTGATGATTCCTCCCCTCCCCTTCAGCAGCGTGTCCGCACATGCCCTGGGACACTTGTGACTTCACTGTTGGCATATGAAGAAAATGAGCACATGACACTTTATCAAAACTTTCCAAGAGGCACCAGCAATTTCTTTTTACAACAATATAGTTTAAATCAAATGTTTCCTTTGCAAGAAGTGTTATCAGAACAT